TGATTGACCATCCTGGGATGTGCTCTGGGTTTGAGATGTTCTTAATTCCATGTAGTTTTTACTTTCTTTGACGCAGCTAACTGTGATGAAACAATATTGGACCTTAAATGCTAATTCATGGTACCTGATGTCTTTCATTTTTTTCAAACCCATTTTCATCCATACTTGATCATGGCTGAAAGCCTTGATGTGTCGAATCCTCTTTATGCAGTGCTAACAACGTGGATGTTCCATCTACATCCAGTAAAGCTGATTAATTCAATTAACTTTTGATTTGAGAAATTAAGGGAAATGGATTTCCACTGAGATTAAAAAAGGGAAAAACAATTCTGCAAAATTTCTCTGAATGGATGCTAATGGAAATAAGCCGATTCTTTTCATTTAAAGAAATCTAGTTCACTTTAGTACTCATCTTGATAGGCTCACTGTTGAGCTATCTCTGGGGGGGGAAAAAAAGTTGCAGTAGAAAGAAAGGCAAACTGGACCGTCCATGTTTAATGAGTGATGACGGTGTCAGCAACAGACATGAAGGATCACATGTGCACCTGCATCCATGTTGACCTGACAACACACAGCCAGCTAGCCAGCAGGGCACACAGACATAAACATAAACATGAACACACAAGGGCAGGAGGTGGTGCTGTTGTCTGGGCTCCACCTCTGTCCATCTGCTGCCCAGTCAGGAGGTTAACCTGAGGGGGAAGTGAACCTGTGAGAAAACACTCCCAGTATTGCTCCTGTCCAACAGCAGGGGGTGGAGGGTGTCGGATGACTGAGAGGGAAGCCTTGGACTCAGACCTGGATTCTAACCTAAGGCTTTCTGACTTTGTCTGCCTGTGACTTTGTGTAGCTGTGACCTACTTCCTGGACTCCATCCATAAACTCTTAGGGTGTTTTCACACATGAGAGTCCAGTAGACTCAGTTCAGTCGGGGACCAAAGTTGCAACATTTGTTACATTTTCTGATGCTGTGTATTGCTTTTATGCTGCTCCGTGTCCAACCAGCCAAACCCTTTGAGGAACCTGTTCCCCTCCTCGCCTGTGGTGGCACTGCACCAAAAACCACAGAAGGAAACAACATGAAAACCTCTGAAGAAAGAAGACACTGAGCACAAGTCAGAAGCCTGACTAGCTTTCTGTTTGAAAGCTCACAACCGGTCCGTTTTTCTTTCACAAAATACAATTTATTTTATTTGAATAGTTAGAAAATGAGTATCTGGTGTTTTTATTTTGCTACAGAACAGTTTGTCTTCACCCAGTTCAGCCCTCTTCTCCAGCTCCAACCCTCCTGGTTTGCGTTGCCACGCCTAACCCACCCACCTTGTCTCCTTCCTTTTAACTTTGGAGCAGATGGCAGGGCCCTGCTCTCTCTGTGTGAGCTTGACTGACAGAGGCCGGTCATCAACCTCCATAGACGGCTGATGATGAGCCGCTCAGCCCAGTCCTCTGACGCCATGTCCTTTACCTGCTTTTCATCACTCTCCTTCAAAACTCCTTCACTCTTCAGTGTCTCTCCTTTATTTGTTGCTCTTATTTCACTACATATTCTCTCTAGAATCAGTTTAATCACTGAACTGTTTTCATAGTCAGTGCTTTTGATTTTTTTTTGACCAATGTTGCCAACTGGGCTGCTTTTGAACACGTTTGGTTGAAAAAAAAAAAAGGGGGGGAAAAAAAGCTTTGGGTGGGTTGTTAAAATTTGGGCGGCTTTTTGCATTAGTTGGGTTTGTAGAAAGTGTTCAGAGAAAAAAAAAATATTTTGAAATAGTTCTCATTGTGTGGTGGGAAAGCACAAAACCTTTAATAAAATGACATGTTATTGAACTTATTAGTTAATATATTTTGAAATCTCCAGAATCTCTCAACTGTGACATTATGACTGATTAGTCGTTGGTTAATCATGTGTCACTATGTATTAGTTTTGTTAAACAGAAATCCCAGGGCAACATCATTATATAGAAGGACATATCAGCACAAAAAACTCAAGTCTCATTGTGTTCAAAGAGTCAGTATATAACAAAAGACGACGTAAAATATTGTGAGTAGTCAAAAGTTATCACCATGAATTTCATTAGAAGTTAAAGTTTGGGCTGTTTTTTTCTTTTTCTTTTTGAGTTGGGTGAGTTTTATGTAGTTAGGCTGGAAACTCTGTTTGTGACCTAAAACATATTTTTGGACAATCCTGACAAGTTCTGACTAGTTTCAGCTGATTTAGTTTAAATCCACCATTTATTAATGTTTAGGCAGTGATTCCTTTCTTGCCCCACTTTTAATATTAGAACTTTGGTGGGTACAGATGTAAGAAACATGTTCAGAATGAAGAAAAGAATGTGATCTAGTTACTTCAAGTGTACCTCCCATTAACCTCTGAGCCTAGCAGTGAGACAGATCTAGTGGCTTTGGGTTCCTCTGCCTCCGCTGGTCCTCCGATGCTTTCAGGGTGACAGCTGTGGTGAACAGGAGGGAGTCTTCAGCTGCTGAAGACAGGCCAAGAGCCTCCTCACTGCCACTAAAACCATCCTGGAAAAAATCTTTCAGACCAATGTCAAATCTCCAATGTCAAAGCTGCATCCTGGTGAGGGCACCGCCGTGCAGAAGAAGCTCTCTCACCAGCAGAAACTCTTCACAGAGCCGCACTGTTCAGTTGCAGATCCGTGTAAATCTGCAGCAGCTCTCTGCTGAGTCAAATTGATTTTCTTTCTCTCTCTCTTGAAAGAAGTAGGTCTCTGTCCCACCAAAGACCATAATCTGGCAACATAAATAGAGTTGCAAGATGGAGAGGAAATGAACAAGGATCCATCTTCAACGCACCGCAGAGAAACAGCTGTTTCAGGTCACAGCGAACAATAACCTCCCTCCTCTTCGTCTTCCTCTCCCTCCTTTCATCCTCTCTCTCTCTTCCTTTCCTCCTGCACATTTTGAAGCTCCCCATCTGACCGTCTTCAGTCAGTGTCTTCCTGTCTGTTTAACTACTGATCTTTCTTTCTCTTCCTGTTGTGTGGCTGTATCGGCAGAGTTCTCATCTTTTCTTCACCTTCACAGTCCCAGGATGTTTGTTTAAGCGCAGCACAGATGGGACACATTGATGACTAAGCTCAAAATTAGCAGCTAAAATAAAAGACGCTCTCAACATCTGGGAACGGGTCCAGAATAATTCAGGAAAACGACCTTTACGTTGCATGTTTTTCCTTAACCTAAAGGGGTTATGTTGTATAGCTGGAGGTAATAAATAACATACTCGGACTGGCACTGTGTGACCTTTGTCTTTTTCTCTATGGTTTCCAAAAGGAATTTCAAAAACAGAAAGTTCTAGAAGTTTCAAACAAAAAAAATGTTTTAGCACAAATTATTTTTTAAAATGTTTGATAATATGGGGGGGGGGGATCCACAATGCTTGTACTTATTTACTTTATTTGGCTGCTGTTCCACTATTTTTCATATCTGTCATGTATGTTGGCAGGTTGAAAACCATGTTAAGCAGGTCTGAACTTGGGACATGAAGGGGATTTTATGGGACAAGTCCTATCATGTCTTAGAAGCGTGTTTGACTTTTGTTATACTCTTGTCTTTAAACAGAGTGTGTGTATTGGGATCAATGGTGTGGAATTCAGAGAATTCAACTGCATCAGGTTCAGGTATGTTACTTTTTCTCTGACATTATCTTTTAGTATGCAACAGACTGGCGACCTGTCCAGGGTGACCCCGCCTCTCGCCCTAAACGTTTCCTTGGAGATAGGCACCAGCAGACCTCCCAACCTCACCAGGGACAAGGGTGTAAGAAAATGGATGGGTGGGTGGATGATCTTTTAGTACTACTTTTATATGTTTAATGAAAAGCTAACTGTTTGAATAAGGTGTCAGTGTCAGTGTCAGGTGTCAGATTAGCAGCTACATCTTTTCTTCACTGCCTATTTTTTTGCACTTATATACATCAGTTGCATTCATGTCACCCATATCAACTTTGTCACAGCATTCTGAAAGGTCTAATTCTGACCTTTTCGTCCCTTAAAAAAATCAGATTTGTGCTGGTTCTCTATCTGGTACTGAACTGAATATGTATCCTAATGTGGTAAAAGCTTCTGCAGTCTGAATGGTCACATCACACTTTATCCAACTTTTAATATTGTTGACATAAGACATGCATCATAATTATGTACCAGAAGAAACAAGGTAACATGGTAAATCTGGATGCAAGGACTGGCTAAAAATTATTATGAAGTTATGAAAGAAGCGTGTTCTACTGAAGCACATCACATCACAGTCACTCCACTCCTGGTTCTGACTACCCATCCACACAGACTTCACTCAGGCTAGTTAACATGGCCACCGAGTGCAACAATAAGTCGTGTCTCTGCCATTAGCTTATTGAGCAGCACATACACGAGCATGGTTAACAGTGCTAGGACCCTCCTCCTGGCTCTGATTGGATACATTTCATCAGACGGCAATAACGGATCTTTCCACTGATCATCTGTCTCATAACATTCTGTCACGACATGATCACATTTTTGGCAATCATGTAAAAAAAACAATAAGACCATATTTGGTGTGAATTGAAATAAACGTGTCTGTTCACAGCTGAAACTGAAAACACGTGGATGTTTCCCGTCTTCAGCACCAGCTGGGCGGCGCCTCCATCACGTTGTGTGTTATCTCTGTATCTCTGAGACAACTTTTCTTTTACACCAAGTTAAGTATTAAAGTAACACAATGTGTGAGTTGAGATACACAAGATGCAGCAATATCTTTCTTGCTGCATTGAATCCTTTCTCGCTCACAGATAACACCGTGGATGTGCCGGATTACACACACACACACACACACACACACACACACACACACACACACACACACACACACACACACAAAAAGAAACGCTTTAGACATCTTCTTCAGTGTGTGTGTGTGTCAACGTACGTGTGTTGACCTGGACCATTCAGACCTCTAGACAGCTTATTCACCGCAGACAGATAGCAGCAGAAACCTTATCTAGTCTACCTTCTCTGATAGTGTATTGATGGGCCAATGGGCTGAATTCAGGAACAAAGGCACAGATAAGTCTGGGAGGAGGAGGAGGGGAGGAGCTGAAGAGTGGAATAAATAAGCAGAATATATTGAAATAAAAAAATAAAAAGTGCTGCCATGACAGCTGCTGCGGCTGACAGGAATGATGTCACAGTGATATTCTCGCTGTCTTTGAGCGATGCTTCCTCAAATGAACAAGTTTGACATGAAATACTGAACTTTTCTTACACATGAATGGAAGAAAGTTTTGTTTTAACATTACATTTACTGACCTGGATGCACATCTGCAGTGCTTCAGGCAACTTCTGTCATTTTTGTAAATCCTACAAAAGAACATACAGCCACATTAGAATATACTAGAACATGAGTCACGTTTGTCAAATTAAAAGTAACTTTTGAGAGTAACAACCTTTGAGCAGGTATTAAATATACTTTTAAGCCCACATTCCTGTTTTTAAAACAAAAATGTTTTAACTTTAGTTATTTCTTTTATTATTTTAAAAATAATGTTTGTTGGTCTGATGTAATATTCCAATTGAAAATGTCATGTTTTCATTAACTGTAAGCAGGAAATTATTTCAATTAGTGATAAAGTTTCTACAATAAAAAAGACTTTCAATGATATTCTACTTTACATAGTGAGTGTGTATTTGAAAAAGAACTACTGCAAAGTTAACAGTCACATGAAGCTAATAGCGAAAATTCAACCTGGAAGACTCCATCCCCTCCGTTCGTCCATCGGCGTCATGCTCATCTCAGTCCTCAGCGCTGGACCTCACCTGGCGTGTCCAATCATCAATCAAGCTCAGCATAAAAGGATCCACACCCAAGCTGTCGGCCGCTTCCCAGCCGCGTTCAACCCACCACCTCCCCTTCTCCACCCACATCCTTCTGCTCTCCAGGATGGCTCCCTTTCCAGACCTCCACCAGTGTCGGGCCCCGGGGGAGAGCATCCCTAATCGGTTATCGGGATGTTCGAGTTCACATCAAATCTCAGCTCAGATCAGCTGCCGGGGCCCGAGGGCCAAAGAACTGTTATTCATCCCTGTCATTAAACCTTTTAATTGTTCCTTTTTCTTCGTCTGAGTCTTTCCAGATTGAAATGAAGCTAATAGCGAAAATTCAACCTGGAAGACTCCATCCCCTCCGTTCGTCCATCGGCGTCATGCTCATCTCAGTCCTCAGCGCTGGACCTCACCTGGCGTGTCCAATCATCAATCAAGTTCAGCATAAAAGGATCCACACCCAAGCCGTCAGCCGCTTCCCAGCTGCGTTCAATCCGTTCACCTGCTCGCCACAGCTTCTCAGCCAGCACGTCACATCTTCTCCACAGCTTCATGAT